CTCACCCCACTAGGGCCCTTATACTCTGTTATCCCTGCTACTGTCCACTGTGTGGTCAGCACTCCAGACGTTCCCCAGTAATTGTCCATGCCGTAAATCTGGTCAGCCTATCTAGAGGTCTTTGTTTTAGGAAGATCAGCTGTTCCTCATCTAGCAGCAATCAGTTGTCAATATTCCTTTACATAAGATTGGGTTCTGCTGTTCATTTTCCCAGTTTTATGTTGGGTTGCTGTCTGGGAGTCTCTTGGGCCACCCTGGCTCAAAGGAAGTTATCTCCTGTCTGGCATTGTTTCTTGTTATATAGCCTATAGCTATGCATATGGACTCTTAAAAAATTATATTGGCCCCTATAATCTTTGGTTATACTTTCCTTTTTGGGTGTTTAAGGCCATACAGTTGGCTCAGATAAAACAATTTATTTTTACTCTTAAGGCCATTTGAAGATCTGTTCCTCAGGGGTAACATGGGCTTGCGAGGAGCCCCTGGCTCCTTTCTTTTATCAGTTCCATCTATGTGAAGATAAGTCACAGGTCCTGTTCTACCATGGCTAGCTTCACTTGGAAGCATGGAGGAAATGTTTCTTCTGAGTTGACCCTCCTCTTTGTAGACTGGACACTTGGTCAAGTCCATCTTGTGGGGTCTCCATGGCCTCCTTGATCAAGAGGACAGCTGACTAACCACAGTTACAGGACATTTTGAGAGATGCAGAAAAGACTAATTTAACATATAGCTGAGAGACAAGAGGAGAGAGAGAGAGGAGAGGGAGAGAGAGTAGAAAGAATAGTAAACAGATGAGAGAAACAGATGAAGAGGGAGGAAAGAGAGAGGAAACAAGTTGAGAAATGAAGAAAATGAAGAAAGTTGAAAATGAAGAGATGAGGAAGATCAAGGAAACAGAGATGGAAATGGAAGAGAGGGAAGAGAGCAGATGGAGGAGGAAGAGCAGAAGGAAGAGGAGGATGCAGAGAGATGAAGAGAGACAAAAAGAATGAACTTCAGGTGGCCACAGATCATATTCATTTAACTTAAAAACTGGCATAACATAAAATTTAACATCTTTACTGATTTTTAAGTGCCCAGCCCAGCGGTATTAGTATCTTCATACTGTTGTACAAATATCACTACCATTCATCCCAAGAAGTCTCTCATTTTCCTAAACTGGAAGTCTGTTACTACTACACACTGCCTCCCCATCCCTCTTTCCAGGTTGTGGCACCCATCATTCTACCCTCTGCTTCTGTCAGTTTCACTACACTAGGGACCAGAGTGGGCGAGGAACTGCAAGCAATGCCACCCTTTATGGTGTAAAATTACCTGTGGTCAGACTGTAACTCAGTCTTAAAAAGGAAGGAAATTCTGGCATATACATGGATGAACCATTAGGACATTTTGGTAAATAAGGTATGCTAGTCAAAGAAGACAAATGCTACCTGGTTTTATATACAAATATATAAAAGGTAATTTTATACCATAAAGGTAATTTTACAGGTAATTTTACACCATAAAGGGTGGCATTGCTTGCAGTTCCTCACCCACTCTGGTCCCTCCCCAGGTCTCCATTAAAAGCTGAAAATCACTTACAGCAGATCCCTCAGCATATAGATGATAGCTATGGTCTTGGAACCAGGAACAGAACTCCAGCTGTGTCTGGGAACTGAGGTCCTTTTCCTGAACCCACAGTCAGCCCTGCAGCTCACAATAAGCACTATTGTCCTTGTTTTTCATCCCTGAGGATGGAAGATTAAATTCAAGATAAGTCAATTTCACCCAAGAGAACAGAAAATGCACAATTCCCATATACACAAGACAAGGCAATGGCTCTCCAAAATAGTCAAACCATGATGGAACACTCCCATCATGTACTTCTTTTCCTAGGATGTTTCTCTTACATAACAACCCTGTTTTATTAAATTAGAATATATTGGGCCAGAGAGATGGATCAGTGTGTAAAGGTGCTTGCCTCTAAGCCTGACAACTTGAGTTTGATCACTGGAACCCACATGGAAGGAGAGGATCAACTCTTTCAGTCTGTCCTCTAACCTAAACACACACACACACACACACACACACACACACACACACATACACTGCCATGTATGAATCTGTACCCATGCATACACACAAAAATGAATAAATTTTAGATTAGCATATGTTAATAGTATCAAGTAGTAGGTTTCATAATGGCATTTCCTTACTGTTTTCCCCCTGGATTCCATGTATAACTAAAAATATGCAATACTTTTCTTTATGAGACTGTTCTATTTCACTTAATATGATGATCTCTATTTCCATCCAATTTCCATCCATTTTTTGCAAATGACAATTTTGTTATGGCTGGATAGAATTCATATATATATATCTCCCACATGTTATGCTTTCATCTATTGATGGCACCTTGGCTGGTTCCACCTTAGCTATTGTGAATAGTTAAACAATATTGATACGTAAGTATGTCTATAGCAAGCTGGCTTTGATTTTTTTGTGGTATATACTCAGAAATGATATAGCTGGAGCATCTATCTCATCCCAGTTATAATACATTTTGGTAAGGATACAGAGTAAAGGAACCTTTTTATACTGTTAATGGGGATGTAAATTAGTGTATCTACCATGGAAATCTGTATGGAAGTTCCTTAAAAAATTAGAAATTTTATATATATGTTCTAAATATAACACCCTTTTCTTCATCCTACATTCCCAGGAAGCCACAGCAAGTAGTGTGATGAGGTAAATCTTCTTTGTCATCCAAACCCAGGATGCTTTTTTAATTGAATTTTTGAAGATTGCATACAATGTATTTTGATAATATTTAGACCCCCTTACACTATCTGAGCCCTTTTTAATGCCCCCTCCCCATTCCATGTACTCTGTCATATATATTAAGGACTATCGAGTGAAATTTGTGTCACCAAATGTCCATTCATTGTAGTCCATCCACTGAAGCCTGGTTAACCCATCTAGCATTATATCCTTAAAGAAAAACAACTCTCTCTCTCACAGCAGCTTTTCCAACCCAGCATTCTTGCTGAAAGTTTTGTACTCACACCTGAAATTATTTTGCACGAGCATGAGGCTGTAAATCAATCATCCTGGTGACCTTTTCAGTCTCTGGATCATATTGGTGCCTCCTCTTTCTGCTTGTACTTGCATAGCATAAGAGAGTCCTGGGCTATGTCTTATGGTACTAAAGTAGGCCCTCCTTGGCTCTAGACACCCACGTACTTTCTGTTCAACCTACTCTCACCATTTGCCATTAGTTTCTCTCTAATGGCCATTCTCAAGATAGCATACAACTTTCTGCAAAAGAATTCTCTATCTCCTTTGGTCATTGTGTAGTTAAAACATTCTTTCTCCACTAAGGAAGTGACTGAGGGTGTCCTTCTCTCCCTCCTGTTGTGACATCTTGCCACCATGCTTCACCTTGGACATGAGACACAAAGTGGATGCATTCTTGGGTGCCTCATAGCTCTCAGATGTGACTGACGCCTTCATCCAGATGTCCATCACCCTAACACATCCCCGATTTCCCCTCTCACATTCTGGTCTACTTTTATAAGTTTCCAGCCAGCACTGCAGTTATCTCTGCCTAGGAGTTGGTGCTGACCACTTTCTGGGTTCTGATTCTAGCGCTTCCTCTATCTCCACCTCCTATGGCTACCAACTGGAAATTATTCTACACACATATGCTCAGAGGAGGATCAAAAAGAGGTGTTGCCACATGCTCCTCACATGATGGAGGCTCTTTGTGATTATAGCAGTGTTGATGTGCATGGTGCCTGGTGCCTACTCTACCCCACAGCAGGGATACATGGTCTCCTACAATCTAAGAAGCTCCCACACTCAACCTATAGTCTGAGAACTGGAAGGAATAAAGACTTCCCTCAAAGTGACCACACTGACCAAGGCCAGAATGCTGTGGCTTGAATATGAAATGTCCCCTATAGGCTCATGTGTTTGACCATTTGGTCCTTGGCCAGTGGAGCTAATTGGGTAGCTTATGGGACATTTGGGAGCTGGTGCTTAGTTGAAATAAATATATTACTAGGGGGTGGGCTTTGAGGTTTTAAAGCTTTGTCCATTTGCTGTTCTGTTTCCTCAGTATGGTTATAATGTGATCAGCCAGCATCCTGTTCCTGCTGCCATGTCTTTTCCTCTATTCTTTGGAACTTTAAGCAAAAAATGAACCTTTTCCTTTGAGTTGTTTTTGCCAGTGTATTTTTATCATAGCAACAGAAAAAAAACTAATATAATACAGAGAGGTTAACTGCTGCCTGAAAGTGACCAAAACTTATTATATAGATTTACAAAGTTGTCAAAGAATAAAAAGAAAACAACATAAAGAAATTTTGCCTTGGGAAAGCAAGTTGTAGAGGAATGGGCACATAAAATACAAATCTATTGGGCTGTATGATCGTGAAGACGAGGCTGAAGAAAAGCTATTTGTTCCATGATCTAAGGAGGGTCACCTCCAACACCATCCCTCGAGTTGATCTCTCATATTCCTGGGGACAGTAGCAATCCTAGCTGTTTTAGGTTCATCCATACTCCCTCCACTGAAACTAATCTCTATTTTCTGGGGCAGTGCCAATCCTTACCTTACACCTCACAACAGTTTCTACCCCTATTTCTACCGCTAAACTAATCCCTGCCCACAGAACTAAGCTCCACCTACAGGCAGCCGGAGTCACACACAGCCTGGTCCCCGCCCTCACCAAGGCCCTGGAACTGCGCCCGCCCCACCACCAACTCGGGCATCCTAGGTGGGTTCCTACTACACTCTGGTTCCCTTTCATGGTCTTCCCACACAGACCACGCCGCCAGGAACAACACGAGTCTCCGTTCCATAGCCCAACCTGGTACGTACTCATTAATTAAACTGAAAAGAAACACTTAACAATCAAGGAAGGTGCGCTTCCACCCTACCCGCCCACCAAGTTTCGCAGTAATCGCTTCGAACTTTTGAGCGGAAGTCGTCTGCAGGGTGGCTGGGCACAGGACCGGAAGCGGAAGCTGGGGCGGTGCTGAAGGAGGAATCGCGCTCTGGACTGCTGGTCTGGTTGAGACTGGGGTCGGCGCCTCTAACCCGGCGGAGGGCTGGACCGAATGAGCACCGGAGGGGAAGAGGCGTGGGCCAAGGGTATCCTAGGCCGGCTTCTGTGGAATCCTGTTTCCTTCCCTGAGCCCTCAGGCTGCTTTCTCAGCTCAGCGTTAAAGCCGGCTCTCTTCACCTTCCAGAACCTTTGGCTTAGTGTTGGAGGTGCTGCTGTCTCAGATTGAGGCACGGTGCACAGAACTACTTTAATCCAGCGGGTGGCGGCAAAGGGCGCTGGTCTGTCTGTATCCTGCAGTACACGGAGCAGCTCCCACAACAAAGAGCAATAGCGCCTAAGGGGGAAACCGTTTAAATTTCTGAAGTTCTGGATGGACGCAGTATATACTGTTTACAGTTCAGCAGAGTCACTTTTAGGTCTTTTAAGTCACAAAGGCGTGTTTACAGCATCAAGTTATCGTACACTCTTCTGTCAGATGAGTTGAGTAACAAATGGACACAGCAGTTCAGCTGCTGTCCCCTATTTTGAGCATACTTGAATAGGTAAGTACAGTTCCCACCCACAGGCTGGGCTCCTGTTACATGCTAAATCTGTAAATGCAAATCTGGAAGGAGAATGAATGGAGGTGTGTGTGTGTGTGTGTGTGTGTGTGTGTGTGTGTGTGTGTGTGTAACAGCTGTAGGACTTTCTAGAAAAGACATCAGAATCAATCTCAGTTGCTTTTTCCCCCTCAGACAAGAAAAGCATTTGTCAAACTCAGATTTGTGTTGAATCGGTCACAGTGTCCACCTGCCCTCTTTGATCTATGGATTTCATGTAACCAGGTGAGTACCAAGTGGAGCTTTGAGACTACAGGATTCCAACAGGCTCCACAGTGTAAAACTACTGTAAGACTTTTCTTTTTCTTGTAACAAGCTGTAACCACAAGGATATAATAACTTAAGAAAGGGTTATCTTAGTATTATTTATGTTTGATGATATATATTCAAGGGAAAGACACTAATGTGTAGTAATAAATATAGTCAGATACATTAAGTACACAAAATAATATTATAAATATATAAATACACATTTTTTCTTGCATGTCCCAGTTGTAAAAATTTTAAAGAAGTATAAATTTTAAAGAAGTAAAAATACATAAGATATTTATGTGTATTTTTAAGTAAACTATCAGGCTCCTTGGTATCATTCTTCAAGCTCTATTCTGTTTGATGTCTGAAACCTATGTTTTCATGAAGCTTTAAAGTGCATGGACCATCTGTGAAAAAGATGTTTTGAACTTCCTTATGTTAGTAACCGAAATTTGAAATTGAATTGACAGAGGACAGGTGAATAGGGTGGAGGACATTGAGCTTTCAGAATAGTAGGCAATCCAGGACAGTTGGTTACTTATGAGCTGGGCCCTGGGCTCTGTGTACAAGGACCCTGGAGAACCAAAACAGACTTTGTTCTGCCTCCATGGAGTGTACATTCTAATGGGGAAAAACCCTGATGATGAGAATTTTGTGGGTCATGGTCTCCTTAGAGACAGGGAAGACATTTGGGAGGGAATAGTAATTACATTGAGAACTGATGATGGGGTTGAATCTAGCTAGTCATAGGGTTCGATTAGGGGTAGCAATATGATTCTGAGAGCACTGCATGTTGTGAGAACTTCATGAGGAATGATACTGACAGGAGAGAGCCCAGCATGCTTCCTGAAGGATAAGGGAATACTTCAGGGAAAACAGCAGAGGGAAAAAGACATAAAGCAGACCTGACTGGGAGGCAGAAGCAAACCTACTTGTTTCTAGATTATGCTCTTAGGACAGTGGGAAGACACTGAAGAGCGGGGATCAGGAGGATAGGATGGTGTGCATATTGTCTAAACTTGTTAGGTGAAATGGAGGTGAAATGGACTTGAGGATTCAAAGAGGCAAGAGTAGAAGGGAGAAGTTTGGGATGAAATGATTGTTTCTGAAGCATAGATGATGGCTGTGGAATAGGAATGAAGTAGAAGATCTGGGAGCTTAAAACTGAGGGAACGTGACAGTGCTGCTGTTCACATATGTTTTTGTCAGTTGTTTGCTCCATGTTCCTGTCTCCTGCAAACAGCCTCCCGTCCCTCCCCCCACATCTGCCTTTACTTTACCTCTCACAGGACCTTTCTTGTTCGTACTAAAGGAGATCAGGGCCAAGTGTGTCTAGGGCTACCCTGTCCACTGTGGACAGCTATTTCAGTTAAACTAGTGAAGTCTCTGTATAATGAAAGAGTCATTGTTTTTAATCACACTAACCACATTTCAAGACTCAGTAACTGCCAGGTGAGATGGAAGCCAGTCTGGTCTACATAGTGAGTTCCAGGGCAGCTGGGGCTATAGGGAGAACCTATCTTATTAAAAAAAAAAAAAAAAAAGACTCAGTAACTACATGTGGGTTGTTAGTGGCTACCATATTGAACAGAGCAGCATTATAGAACATTTCTTCATTACTGAAAGTTCTCTTGGGCAATTCTGGCATAAGAGTAGCCCATCCACTGTGACCCTTGTCCAATAATGATGTTTCCAAGGTAAGGCCAGAACCACTGAACCTGCATAAACAGAGACACCCCCTCCACACACACACCTTCTTCCCTAACTGAAGACTTAAGCTACCACACAATGTTGAAGGGGCTTGGAGCATGACTCTCTCTTTCTTCTTTCCCTGTGGGGGTGCAGCTGGATCCCAACTGATACCAAGTGAGAGAAACTACACATACATGACTGCAGATTGGGTCCATGATGGGAGAAGAAAGGAGACATGCTCTACCTGTAGAGGGCACAGGAGGAAGTTCTCCCACAGCAGCCTGAGTCAAGTTTAATGGGAAAATCAGTGCTACTTGTTTCCTGTGGCTGCTGCCTCAAATGACCACAAACAGTAGAATCAGATAATGTGGAAACATGGATTTATTCTCTTGTAGTTTTGGAGCTCAGAATTTGTAAGTGTGTCAGGTCACTTTCCTTCAGGCCCCAGGGGAAAACGCCTCTTCCATCTTGTACAGACTTTCCATGTTCCTTAATTTGTGGTCCTCTCTTTTTTCTTTTTTTTACTTTTTGAGGCAGGGTCTTACTATGTAGCCCTGGCAGGCCTCAAACTCACAGAGATTGGCTGAGGGGTCATGGCAGCCTCAGTTAGCCACTGGGTCAGGAACACAGGAAAAGCTACTGAGAGCTGGAGACTGGCATCCAAAGTTGGTGGGGGTGGAGGCACTCTGGGGACTAAATTTGAAGCCTATGGAATCTGACACTGTATCCAAGTAGACTGCCAGAAGTGAAGTGAATTATCGAACACCCACTTGGTGTCCACTTCAGAACCTCTTGCTTGCTGGTGCTGAGAATTCTTATTGATTGTGGTGTGAGAGCAGAGGGAAATCAGATGTTTTGTTTCTGTGGGTTTTTGTTTTTGTCTACAAGCACAACCTGCCCAGGAGAATAAAGACCCAATGTGCGAAACAGATTGCACATTTTGAAGGAAGGCAAGTTAGAGAAGCGATGAGAAAGGCTTGTTTTTATAACCTTGGGAGGGAAAATAACTAGGCTGACTTTGTCTCCTTTTTATTCCAGAGTGCTGCCCTGGGTGCCTGTGGGAGTCAAAGGAGGTGTTTCCTAATCTACCCACTGCCCTATGTTCAGGAGCTCTGCTGTTGGAGTCAGGATGACAGCCACTGTCCTACCTCCCACATATAGTGAGTCACTGGATCCCACCAGTCCTCAAAGTCAGGTTCAAAGGCCCCCAGGCTCACAGTGCAGCAAGGGGAAGGGGCTAGGTATCCATTGAGGAAGCTGGGACATAGCAGGTAAGGCAAGAATAGAGCCAAGTGGTCCTTAGATGCGATGGGAATCTTTTAAGATGGGACATACCTGTCAGGCTTCAACATGGAGGTGATAAGTCACTTTTGAATTATACCTTTAATTGTTGCTGGAATAAATGGTGATGCTGCAGAGCATCAGTTTCCTTATGCGTGGATACATCCTCTTCCTCACAGGCAGTCAGAGCCCATGAGCCTTATAGTTTAGCTAAGGTGAGACAGGACTCTGCCCTACTTCCTGATGAAAGCTGTGACTGTGTATCTCTGCAGGGGTGGAGGAGTGTGCTGTGTGTATGTGCATGTGACTGTGCATGCTGCAGGTGTTTGGGGGTGTATAGTCAGTCACAGGTTGATAGCTGAACTTCCAGAGCATCACAACTCAGGATATCCTGTTTCTTATCATTTATTTCTTCTTCCCCAGTTCAGTCCTCCCTGTACCCAGTGTCTCCTCAGAAAGGATTCACAGGAAAAGAAAGACTATCCAGTGAAGTCTTCAAAAACTTGTTAAAGGTGAGTAAAATCTTTTTTCTAAGTCATTACTCCTTATACAGAACTTGTTACTGCAGGCGCTTGTACATCCTAAAACCAGGTCTGTGCACATCCCAGTATCTGTAGTTACTTGATGGGAAATAAGAGATTGACTCTGTCAACATTCACTGCATTCTCAAAGCTCCTTCCATAGTCCTGACGATATCACATAGTTCCTGAGAGTTTATTGGGAGGCCAAGGAAAGGCATGACTCTGTCCTGCTTTCGGAGAGAGAATTATCTCTTTCATAGGAGAAGTATTTATTTGTGTATGCAAATGCATCTCCTCTTTCTGCACTATCCCAGCCCTGGGAAATTAGATTTCAGGTGCTCAGAGTCTGAGTGGAAAAAAAAGTGAGTTTGGAAGGTGCGGCAGTAGACAGGAGAGGAGCCAGGGGGAGCGTCATTCAATCTTGTCTGCACACTTTGAGCTCTGGGCTTCCTTCTGTGGGTCTGCCATCTTGGGCCTTCTTTCTGTTCTCATTGGTGAGGTCTTTCGCTAAGCTGTGGTATGTGATGGTTTAGGACCTGGTGACCTTTGAGGATGTCACTGTGCAGTTTACACAGGAAGAGTGGATGTTGCTGGACCCTTTACAAAGAACTCTGTACAGGAAGGTAATGCTGGAAAACTGGAGGAACCTGGCCTCACTTGGTAAGCTACCATCAGCCCTGTGACTCAGAACAAGACTTTGATTCCAAATTTTTTTTTCCTCCTCAAATATGTCTTTTTCTTTAATTTGTTGAATTTTTGTGTGTGTATATCATATAGAACATCCCACACAATCTTATTCATCTATATACCCACTTCCCAAATGGTACCCTCCCATAGCTCTCCACCCCTACACACTGGAGCCGATATACTCTGTCATTCCTGTTACTATTCACTGTGTTGTCACCACCCACAGCCATTCTCCAGTGCTTGTCCCTCTGCTGAATCTAGTCGGCCTATCTAGAGAGCCTTGTTTTAGGAAGATCAGCTGTTCCTCATCTAGCAGCAATCAGTTGTCAATATTCCTTTACATAAGATTGGGGTCTGCTGTTCATTTTCCCAGTTTTATGTTGGGTTACTGTTTGGGAGTCTCTTGGGCCACCCTGGCCAATAACTCAAAGGAA